GGTAGTTGGAGCATTCTTTGGCACTGCCCTTCTTTGGGATAGGGATGTAGACTGATCTTTTCCAGTCCTCTGGCCACTGTTGAGTTTTCCAGACTTGCTGGTATATTGAATGTAGCACCTTAACAATGTCGTATTTTAAGATTTTTAGTAGTTTCACTGGAATGCCATCACCTCCACTGGCCTTGTTGTTAGCCATGCTTTCTAAGGCATACTTGACTTCACTCTCCAGGATGTCTGGCTCAAGGTCAGCAACCACACTATCTGGGTTGTCAGGGACATCCAGATCTTTCTGGTATAATTCATCTGTGTATTCTTGCCACCTCTTCTTGATGTCTTCTGCTTCAGTTAGGTCCCTACCATTTTTGTCCTTTATCATGTCTATCTTCACACAAAATATTCCTTTAATATCTCCAATTTTCTTGAACAGATCTCTGGTTTTCCCCATTCTATTATTTTCCTCTATTTCTTTGCACTGTTCATTTAAGAAGGCCTTCTGGTATCTCCTTGCTATTCTTTGTAAGTCAGCATTTAATTTTCTGTAACTTTCCCCATCTCCCTTGGATTTTCTTTCCCTTCTCTTTTGTGCTATCTGTAAGGCCTTGTTGGACAGCCACTTTGCTTTCTTGCATTTCCTTTTCTTTGGGATGGTTCTTGTTGCTGCCTCCTGTACAATATTACGAGCCTCCTTCCATAGTTCTTCAGGCACTCTGTCCACCAAATCTAGTTCCTTAAATCTGTTCTTCACTTGCACTGTGTATTAATAGGGGATTTGGTTTAGATTATACCTGACTAACCCAGTGGTTTTCCCTCCTTTCTTCAGTTATATTCATTTCAGCTATATTTGCTTTAAACGTGTTATGCTATTTGGACAGCAGTGGATGTAAACAGTACTGAGCTAAATATGCAAATAGTTTTCCTCCAAATGAGACAACTCATACTTCCTTCCTCTGTACTCCTTATCCATGTAGATTCCCTCATTCATCTCTTTGCTATATGTGATAATGTTCCATTGGCAGATATGCTAAATATGGTTAGCTTTTAAACCATCATTTAAGCCAGCTTTCAGCCCTCATTGCCATGTAAGGCTTTGGTTATCTATATTAGGAATGGGATTTTCAGGAGAGAAAAGGAACTCCCAGTCCCATTAATCACCCTGGGAGATTCCCACCAAATTATGGTACTGGGAGTTTGTTAGTTTTTCCCCTAAAGTCCCATCCCTATTACATACATTACTCAGATTCTTCTATGACAGGAGGAAATCAGAGATGGTAGAATTTGTTTATAGATTGTTATTATCTCCTTTTAACACACTCAACTCTTGGTTTCACTTTCTGTGTCATCTTTGTATAAAAATGCTTTGTGATGTGTGTTGTTGGCGTACATCAAAAAGGTCCTGCAGATAAATATGATGGGGGGGGGAGATTGAGAGAGAGGTTTTACTGTAGTATATAAATTCAAGTCACCATTTTAATTCCAGCCATGTATTTTAGTACCCTTGAGGAGAAGATCCTCCAGTGGTCAGGGTCAAATGGTAAAAGGCAGGGCTAAATGAAAGTGCTTCAGAGATGCCTTGCTTCTCCCTGTTTTTGCTGCATCTGGCATGTTTCCAGGCCTTTCCTGCTAACACCACTGAAAGCAGCAGCTGGTGACTAACGTTAGCAAATAAGGCCTCAGGGCTACCCATATTCAAGTTCTTTATTCACCAACTGCTATTCAGTGAAACAGCTGGATCACAAGCGATACAGCCAAGAAGTAGTTAGAGTTTTATGTGTACAACTGTTCAGATATAGATTGTCTGCTAGAGGCAGAGATAATGATAGCTTTCAAAGCTAATATGTTTGACTAGGATGAAGCTGGTGTTCAAAAGGAGAGAGTAAAGAGCCAGCAACAGTCTTGAAATGTCCCCCCTCCCCGCCAAGATTCAAATCTAAGCCATCAGTTGACAGCATGCATTGATCTTTCTCTGTCTATCCTGCCTCCACCCCAACTTGGGTATCGATTATATAGGTGGTGTAAATTTTATTATGCAAAGCTGCAGAAAGTGATCATCCATATGGTAATATTCCTTTTCCGTTTTAAAAAAATAGATCAATTGATAAAGAAATACATATTCCTGGTCTTCTGTATACAGTGACTGACTTCAGCATCAAAAGCCACATTGCTCACTTGGAAGCCAACCAAAAAGGGACAAAAAGATGTACAAAAGCATTAAAATGTGCATACTTGCAAGAATACTGTTTCTGTCTTTATCTCTTTAACTTCTGCCACTTCCCCCACAAAGTATGGGAGGAGGAAAAGGAAAAAGGAGTAAGCTGGTTTGCATATTGCTTCAAGATGCAATGGAGAAAAGGTGTTGTATGCAAAGCACTGGATCTCAGCAGGTGATCATGACCTATGAAATAAAATTGTAGCAAGCTTTGGGATCACATAATCTTGTTTCTTCTCATCTGTGTATGGAATGAGATGTCTGCAGATCTTCTAAATTATGAACTAACACAGCTACTGATATCTTAATGAAAGCTTTCCAGTCTTTGTTTACAATACATAGGCATGGAGAGATCATTCTCTTTTTTTAATGAGCGATTATTATCATTTCAGCAAAAGTTTAGAAACATTGTGAATGAAAGAGTGAGAATGCAGTGTAAATTAAATAGCCATGTTATATTGCACTATGAGATCATCTAAGATTGAGCCTGGAAAATAATAGGTATGAGGATAATTTATACCAAGACCTACAATCTACATAGGGTGAGGTATACATCATCAGTGTTCTGTTGTTGGTTATATTTGGAAGCAGGCATAATTCCACATGTGTTGGCATTTAAACTGCCTTTTAGCATTTAGGCTGCATATTCTAAGGTCAAGAACTTTAGAATGATATTATAGAATACAAATGTACCTTATATTTGAGAATCTCCTCTGCCAGTGAACTCACATTTCTTAACTTAGCAAAGTTCAGACTTTTGCTTGAATTAAAAAATATATATAACTGGAACTCATTAAGGATAAAAGAATTGACCCAAATATGACAGTGTAATAGTTTTTTTTAGTCCACAAGACATTCAGATTAATTTATGGTGCCTTCAGTAAATGAGCTATGTAGTCATGTAATCATTCCATCCATAGCTCGCTGCTGCTTCCATATGGAGAATTCAGTATCCCCACAGGCAGTTCTAGATGTATTGAAATTACAGATCCATTGACTGAAGAATTCTACAAGCCTGATTTAAAAACTAGGGATATGGTGGCGCTGCAGGTTAAATGCAGAAGCCTCTGTGCTGCAGGGTCAGAAGACCAGCAGTCGTAAGATCGAATCCATGCGACGGAGCGAGCTTCCGTCGCTTGTCCCAGCTCCTGCCAACCTAGCAGTTCAAAAGCATGCAAATGCTAGTAGATAAATAGGTACCACCACAGTGGGAAGGTAACGGCATTCTGTGTCTAGTCACGCTGGCCATGTGACCATGGAAACTGTCTTTGGACAAACACTGGCTATATGGCTTGGAAATGGGGATGAGCACTGTGCCCTAGAGTCGGACACGACTGGACTAAATGTCAAGGGGAACCTGATTTAAAAACTACATTGATTTTAAATAGTAATAATTTTCAGATCTAATTATACAACCTTAGCTCACAATATTTTTGCTTCTGGATAATTTTTAAAGCATAGTACAGTATATGAAGGGGATGTTCCTCATTGAAGCTATTACGGTTTCCTTAAATATTGAGCTGCTAGACCCAATTGTTCTTAAATGATGCAACATTGTTTAAAGTAAAGCAAAAAAAAAATTCACAAATTCTCCCATGAGTCAGTTTCATGTTATTCACTGCATGGATTTTTAGACTACTTTTGAGGAAACATTACGCTGTCACCACTGGTATAATATGGCACAATTTTCCTTTTTTTAGATGCAAGAATTACGGAATACAGAAGGAGCTCAATATGGTTCTCACCCCCAGATAGCAGCTATGAGACCAAGGGTTCAGCCGGCAGATATGAGGCAGCCGGGAATGATGCCACATGGTCAGCTGACTACCATTAACCAGTCACAACTAAGTGCTCAGCTTGGTTTGAATATGGGTGGAAATAGTGTTCCCCACAACTCTCCATCTCCTCCTGGAAGCAAGTCAGCAACTCCTTCACCGTCTAGTTCTGTTCATGAAGATGAAGTGGATGATACTTCTAAGGTATGACTAAAGCTATACCATCTTGCCAGCAAAACAAACAAACAAACGAAAACCAGAAATGACCAAGTACTGTAAGCAGTTGGTACTCTAGTAGTATGCTACAGTTTATAAAATGGCTTATTTCGTATCTTGCATATATGAGGAAGGATATCAGAGTCCCTTTGTATCAGTAAAAGTTGCCTTAAAATCATTTGTGAACAATGGCGCACTCTCAGGTGTTGCGCAGATGTAATTGTGCACACATGCATTTGCACCTTGCACGCTTATGGTATTATATTGTCAGTCATCTCATATATTCTTTAATGTATGCAATTATGATGTCAACCTCAACCATGTGCATATTCCACTGACTTCAATCAGGGCCAAGCGAATGTCTGTCAGAATGGCATCCATTAACTTAATCAAGCTTTCAGCTGATATGGTATGTAAATCAACATAAAGCTGAAAATACAACTTTTTAAAGGTCTGCCCATTCTTTTCATGCCGGAACATAAACATACAAAATAATTAGACATTTAAGAAAATGTATCACACTGTACTCTGGGTTACTTCTTCCTAAAAAGCTGATTATTCATTTAAAATACATTGCATTGCAATCACTTTTACTTGCATATTTTAAAACTTTGGACATTTTTAAATATTCATTTTTATAAGGGGAAATAATTTGTATATCACATGTATAAACTTAAACCATCTTAGTATTTTTTGCCCCATTGCCATTATTTTTTCAAGTTGTTCCCATCTTAGGCCAGACACTGTGTGGTGTGGAGCTTCTTCTACTTTCCTTATGAATTTTCTTAGAAGTATTTTATTTTATCATGGATTATGCCCATTTTTTTACTGAGATATATTTCATGTCTTGCGATCATTTCCTTTCCTATAATTCTACAGGTTTGATTCTTTGGCTCAGATATTTACATTTTACAGAATATAAACATTTCCAGTGTGCATGTAATTTTATTTTCAAGGAAATTGAAATGGCTTTTGTACAGAAGACCATTAAAGTGATAAAACAATAAATACAAAAGTACCAAATCAAACTAAAAGACAAACGGAAACAACCAAAGCATACAAATAAATGCCATTAGCAAAAAAGAAAAAGAAAGAAAACCCACAGAAATAAAACAGTGAATGACTCCCGCTACAATAGCAGAATAGCAATAAACATTATAATCTGCTGATTCTAAAGTTTAAAAAAAACCCAAACTCTCAGCTTTTGTTTGAAGCCTGAAGGCGTTACTGGACAAGTTATTTCTGGAGCTTGGTTTTTAGTACATATAATGCCGGCTGGTGGATTTTCTTAGTTTTAGTCAAGAAGGTTATTTTTCCCAAGCTCTGGAAATTCCATAAGATTCTATTGAGAAAGCCCAGTTATAGTGGATAGTCTTTCTAATTTAGTCTTTGGGAGGGAGGACAAAATATGTGGATCAGAAGCTGAGTTGTTAAACTGGATGCCTAGGAAATAAGAGTTCATCTCAGTGCTCAAACATCAATAAATAATAATAATAATAATA